GGAAGTGGTTTAAGCTTCTTTGTGTTGTGCTTTAACCAGCTGCGCCACCAGGGAGGGCCCTATGTTTATGAAGTTTTGAAGGCCTTGATGAGTAGAAATGGAAGACCTGACACCTACATATTTATTTTCAGCCATGCAACTTTATACTTTATTTTCAGAGTTTGGTTCCGTCTTTTTTTCTTTACTCTGAGCTATGGAATAATGATTCACCATATGACTCTGGCTCTAACATCAGGGGGCCTGATCACCAAGCTGTTTTGTGAGCACTTGTAAAGGATGAGGACCAAGTCTCTATGTGACAGCGTTTGCTCTGGCCCATCTTCTCTACTGGGCTTGGGGTGCACACTGAAGCCCCAAGTACAACCACCTGCCCAAACGTGAATGACCTAAACTCAAAGCCTACGCACCAGTGGAGAATTGTCTGCCACTACTCCTCTCTAACAACATATTCAACTGGATGTTCAAGGCCAGCTGAGTTATTTTTGCACCAAGAAATCCTTTCTAGCCTAGAGAGTAAAAAAATATGCAAAGCAAAGTACGTTAAAATGTGTTTTTGTGTGATCCTATCAGTCCAGATCACCTGTGCCTACCATGCTACCAGGGAGCCCCACGTACCCCCTGAAAGTGTCCACACAGCGGAGGCGGGGCGCTGGCGGTGGGTGCCATGCTTCTGGCTGGACATCACCACCGAGGACACCTGCCCTGCTTGGAGATCCCAGCTCCTTCAGAAAGCAGAGAGAGAGAGGCTTGGTGATTCAGAATGCTAAGGAATAAATGTGTCATCTTTCCCCTTTTTTGGAAAAAAATTAACAGAGTAGAAGGTTTAAGATCTTATTCTGAGCAATACTACAATTCCCTTTTCAAAAGATCCCTCTAGAGCTTTGTTTTTTCCCTCTCCTTGGTTTTTGTGCCTTCTGCTAAGCTTGCAGTGGCCATGCTGATAAACAACCACAAAGAATTTGTCCACAAGTACATCATGTGCAAGCGTACAGCACTACGTCTATGATTAGATGATGGTATCTTAATCATCACATAGGCCACCACATTGGTAGATTTAATATTGATGTCCTTTCTCTTGTTTTTATCTTGATACTCTCTATTTAACTAGGCGGATTCAACAGTGTCCACACCCTACATCACCGTGCATCATTCCAGCCTTACTGGAGAAAGAGAAGGGCACTCAGGGAGCAGGACACATGAGCTGACCATCACAGTCAGAGTGAGATTAAGTAAGCCACATAATAAAAAGTAAAAGGAATTATAAACAGTAAGTTTTGAAAGCCACCCAGATGACACCCATGATGTGTCCCATTAACTCACAGAATTGATGAGCCGATCAGTTTCCCGGGAATGTATTGCTTTAGAAATCCAGTTACTAAAGTCATCTAAACTGTGACCAAATAAAAGGTATTGGTTAATTTATTTTTTCTGAAGAATTTTCAAAATGGTGGACTAACAGAGTGAAAATAAAACTTGATTTAAAGTTCCTATTCCTACAAGTCAAAGAGTTAAACATTTTAAATATTTTTTAACCAAACAAAAAGAGAATCTAACTAAATTCATAGCAACAATACTTATAAATGCTTGACCCTTGTAATGCAGCTCCTGATCAATAAAAAAGAATAATGATAATGCCTACATTAAAGAGCTTTTCTGAGAAGTGGGTAAGTGCATTATTCTGTGTAGTTGGAATTCTTACTCCAAATACTATCAAAGTTAGAATAGGGAAAAATCACAAACAACCGAGGTGCACTTAATGCAGGAATAATGAAATAGTACATGACAGCTTAACCTGTGTCACAGGCCAAGATACAGCTTTAAATAACAGGATGGGGGGATTTCACTACAAAGAAATATGAACTATTAAGTACAAAAATCCCATATCCAGATTCTATTATAACTAAATAAAAACAAAAATGTCTACAGGCACGCGTAGAAGTTCAAAAGTAACTCTGAGGGCAATCAAATAGTTTATGTTCTCTTTCCCAGATCGCTGCTTCAGTTCAGGAAGGTGGTATTGATGGAGGATAAGAACAGAAAATCTGGAAAGGATGCTGCAAGGTAAGGAGATGGGGATAGAAGGGAATAGCACAGACATTAATCCAGCCATAAAAACTATCAAACGGCTGTAGGGAGTGTCAAGAGCACAGACCTAAAGGTGAAGTTATGGGGATTAAGGAACAAACCATCCACTCAGGAAGATGAGGCCCTCCCTACTCAAAGAAGTTGATATAACCCCCCTGAAGGCCCCC